TAGTGTCGTGTATGCAACTGAGCAACTGCTGATGTACCGTTCGTTTTTCTTTTTCTTTTTCGTTTTCTTTTTCTACTGCATTCAATTTACGTAAGACGAAAGACATAGTATGTTGCGCGAATGAGAGCGAGTAGATATACACGCTTTGTAATGCTCAGAACAGATGCATTCAAACAAGTCGATGTCATAGTATTAATAATAGTGTTCAACAAAAAAACCTATATGTATATATATAACCGAAATGATTCATATTCATCGTATAACAACCTCCTGTGAAGTAATCGTTCTCTTTAATTCATCATGCATTTTATTTATCAGAATAGGGCAAATAAAAAATACATAAAAATATGTTGTTCAGAATCTATATATGGATGATTTTTTTTTGTATTGAGATCAAACGCGTTATAGATACGTACATGTCAGTTAATCTTTCAACTAGGATATATATATATTTCAGGTATATATCGTGTATCTTTCAAACAATTACTTTTACCATGATTATTTAAATTACGTTGGTATTAAATAGATTGTTTATATTGATCACATTGTTCATGTGCAAGAATACCTTGTGGAGCTTTTCAATACATTTTTTTTTCATCTTGATCGCATTTACGTTTCTCATTGGTGGCTTCTATCTCTAAATTGCTTCAAGGTTTTTATGTATTGTTAACTGACAACGATGTCATTCATGATTTTCTGATAAAAGACTAGCAAAAAAAAAATTTTTTTTTTTGTTTTTATTATTCAATTGAAAAATAAAAACATACTCTTCTTTTATAATATTTAATAGTTTTTATTCATATTTTTGATCGAACATTTATTTAAGTAATTGTCATCGTTGTTCAATAAAATTTTTTTATTGACATACAATTTCTATTGCATGTAGAAAACGTTCTTGTCATTGTTCAGGTGACATATCATGCAGACCAAGGAAAAAGTGTTTCGATTTTACAAATCATTAATTCAGTAGGTTTATTTCGAATCTAATTCTTTTTTATAGAAAAGAAAAGATCCTATTGGATAAGATGACCATTCTGCTTTGACAAGCCAGCTATATCATGTTGTAGAGCAACTCGTGGTGCATCAAGCAGCATATATGAATTTGTATTTTCATCAAATTTTAACGTTTTACAAAGCCATACCCAAATTCTTAGTACATTTACTAGCTTCTGTAACCATTGTATGATGTTTTACACTCTTTGGCACTACTCTTGAGAGCGAAAGTGATCAACTATACCATTTTCTTAGGGATTATGTGCCATCATGTTCTATAATGGCAAACCAATTTTTCGCTTTCAGACCTTGGAGTGTGGGTACTGGTGTTCTGTTGATACACGCCAACAGCCATACCCTTTTCTTTGTACTAAAAAAAAATTCCATTACTAATATTTGTCTAGCTTTATTATGCATGATTTTCTTTGGCAGCTGATTTCATATAAGTTGTTGACCGTGGATAAAATTAGTTCAATCTTATATAGGTCAACAAAAATTTTCTTTAATATTCTGGTACAAACTGGTATGTTCTAATTCAAATTTGGAGCTAATTTTGAGTTTGATTCGAGTTTAGTGCAGAAATGTCATAATATCCATAACTCGAGTATCGAGATTCACAACATAAATATTAGGATATCTACTTAATGTATTAACGATATCCATATGCCACTAAATTAAGGGAGCCCCCTCAGAAAAAGCCAATTTTGTGATTTATAGCTAGTTAGATAGAGCAAAGTTTCTACTTCCGAATGCACTAATATAGAATAATAATGTTCTTCCTGAAAAATTTTGGTTTTTACGTTTCCGTGCATCCCAGATTTCTCCGTCATTTTAAACGCTAGCAAGCTCACCTCAGTGTCAAAATGAAGGCAAAAATTAGTTTTACAGTTAAACAGAGTTGAATTTTTCGATCTCTCCATTAATATTTATAAAAAAAAAAAACGTGATCGTTCTGGACCTACCTCCTACCTCCTTTAGGTTTTTCGTATTTCATTCGAGGAGTTTTCTAGGAACACAAGCTAGAAGGAAATCGATAAAACGGACCCTGTTAAGTTGTAGAGCTAATTTTTGCCTTCATCTTGACACCAACCCGAACTTTCTAGCATTTGAAATGACAGCGAAATTTGGGGGTGTGGGTGTGGATACCGTCGAAGAGACAACTGATGCCTATACACCTACATCCATTCTTCTTAATGAATATTACTAGACTAAAATCTTACCTGTAACTTTTCGTAAAATTTGTCCATCGAACAATATCAAAAGTAATTCTATCTAAAAGAATCAAGTTTATTAGAGTCAAACAAAAAACGATTCTTTAACAAGTCTTTATATATACTAACATGTCTTTAGAAAGTCAAGTGATGAATAAGAAAGTTTGTTACCTACAGAGAAAGTTGGATATTATCATTGACAACTATATGACGTTGACTAGCCTGCTATTATCTACTGCGTGTTTTGTCAATAAATAATACAAGATAACTATTTCTCTCTCATAGTCCACGAAATTCAGAGTTGTTTGTTGGTGTAATATGAATCCATCGACAAGGATAATTTTTAAAAAATTTCCAGTTCATGTCTCCTTTAAACGAATGGGTGTGTATAGCGGATTGTTCCTAACAACCTCACATTCTCCCCACCTATCCCCCTATTGAAAAACGTATTCGGATGCTTTAAATTTCAAGGAAGATTCTGAAATATTTAAGAATCTTCTAACTCTTTTAATTATTTTCGTTCAGCACCTTTGATTTCGATTGCTAAGTTCTGTAATAGTGATGAAGGAGAAGTTCCAAAACTTCATTCTGTACGACTTCTCTGTATATTTATCATAGTCAATCAATATGAACTTCTTTTAAATGATGAAACATTAACAATACGCCTGTGTAGATGCATTTTGATTAGAATATGTTACTAAAACATTGTCACAGTTTATTCTGTTCTTTGTCTTGACATTTGTTATATTTTGGCTGCGATCACTAAACAACGATTGATTATTGACATCAATAAAAAAAAATATATATTTGTATTTATTTAAAATAAAAACAAGAAGAGAATCAAAATAATATTTAATCTTTGTAGTTGAATCTTTAATCAATCCTGTGCCAATATATACGTCACGGCTCACTGCTCTTCTTTTTTCCTCTTCCTCTCTCTATTGTTCTCTCTGTGTTGTCTCTCTTTGTTTCTCTATCATATATAAGCTTGTGTTGAATGTGCAATAGACACATTCTGGAGATGTGAAGTAGCTAACAAACATCATTGCCGAGTAGCGGCTAGCTACTCCTCCAGTCTGTCATAACATCTCTCTCTCATATTTATCGTTACATCTACGTGTGAACAAGTAAATAATCAAGTACAAAAGTTTGATACTGATCGAAATTGATAATTTTTGAAAATGAACATTGTTTTTAATATTTTTCATAATAATCTTAAATAATTAACCGGATTATAAAAAACAAATTGAATAAAATTCACTTTTTGTCAATTTTACATCAAAGATTCTCTTTTTTTTATTTGAATATTTCAACATTATTTAAATATTTTCTGTTCATTATTATAGTGTTGAAAATTTTCGCAATTTATCTTTTAAAATAGACAAATGTGAAAGATGATCTAAACTAGGATTTATTGAACGATTCAAAATTCTCGATACATAGTTAAAAATGATGTAAAAGACATGAAATTCATCATGATAAAATATTAAAATAATCGATAAAAGAAAAAATTTGTCATATCGAAATGATGAAATTTATCCGAAATAGAGAAAAACTAGATTTTTTTATTCTCGATTCTTATTTTTTATGTGAAAAACAATAATAAAGAAATATCATATCGAATTTTCTTCAAGAATATGACAACAAAAAACAAAACAATATTCGATCATTCAATCTAATTTCAATTCACATATTGATTTGATCAACGATTTGTTTTATTTGACTATCAATAAAATGTTTGTGAGGTTTTCAACAGACCAATATTTTGTAAATCAATGTCTGAAAATATCTCTTAAGATAATTTTGATTGACATGAATCTATTTGATTTTTATAGAAAATTCATTTGGGCGTATGTGAATGTGGCTATGAGAAGAAGATAAATACAAGCACACGCACACCCTCATGGTGTTCAAAACATCCCGACAGTTTTCATAGTCTTCGGAAATGAAGTTCAATCATTATGAAACACTCATAATTTCATCATCCTTTTGCGTTCTATTGACAATATTTTTTTTATATTGCATCTTTCTTTTCTACACATGTCAGTCGTAATTTCATCATTGCAAATGGCTATTATGTAAGATTGATGTATTTGAGACGCATTTTTTATATACATTTCTAATCATAATTCTTTCATCGAATTAGAATAACATCAGGTAATTTTCATCAATGGGTAAAGAGAAAACTGGTATTGACATTATTATTATTGGTGATGCTTACTCGGGCAAGTCAACCTTGCTTGAACAATTGATTTACAAATGTGGTGGTGTTGACAAGCGAACCATTGAGAAATGCGAAAAATTATCCGCCACTGCGGTTAGTTGTTCTATGCCTATCTAGTTTTATGCAATATTTCGTTGTCTGATAGAGAGATCGACCTCCATTCAAGCATGCTTCAGAATTATTAAAATATTATATCTCACAATCAAATATTATCACCATCGATATGGTGTTGAATAGATTCGCGAGTGCAAAGTACAACGTCACTACCATTGGCACTCCAGATTATCGTGATGTTCTCAATATGATCAAGAATATAGTTCGAGTAAGTCGGAGCCTTTGCTGATTTCTTGCTTGTTTTTAAACTGGTAGTATGCTTGAACAAAAATTTTCTTACAGCGAAATGATACGTTTGTAGATTTCTACCATTGACTATTGAAAGAAGATATTGACTGTATCTTTTATCTGTTTGTTAGGCCGATTGTGTAGTGTTAATGGTATCTGCATGTATTGATGAGTTTGAGAATTCCATCTCTGAGAACGGTCAAACACGTCAACAAATTTTATTTGCCTACATGTTAGGTGCCAAGCAAATGATTATTGCTGTGAATAAGATGGATGCTGACACTGTGTCCTACTCCGAAAATCGTTTCAATCAAATCCAAATTGAACTATCTACCTATTTAAAACAAATTGGTTATCCATTCGAGAACGTCGTATTTGTTCCCATCTCTGCTTGGAATGGAGATAATTTGGTCACAGTATCGAACAAAACGGCCTGGTTCACTGGCTCGATCATAGAACGTCAAGAAGGCAATGTTATCTGCAAAACTTTCCTGGAAGCTATTGATACAATTGTTGTTCAGCGTCAACAATTTATCGATAAGCCACTCCGTTTGCCATTACAGAATGTCTATAAAGTACGTGGCATTGGAACAGTCGCTATGGGTCGAGTCGAGACCGGTGTATTGAAAACAAATATGATTGTTAGCTTTCCTCCATTGAATCTGACGGCTACTGTTCGATCGATCGAAATGTGCTACGAAACTCTCACAGGTGATTAAACGTTCATTCGATCAACCAATAACATGGTTATTTTTAGAGGCTTTTCCAGATACTATTGTTGCCTTTAATATCAAAAATATTAATGCAAAAGAATTACGACATGGTCTCGTCTGTTCAGACATGCAGAATGATCCGGCTCGAGAGACTACAACCTTCATTGCTCAGGTAAAATTAGACAAATCCCACTGACAAACCGTACCAATGGTAAATTAGAAAGTCATAGATCCACTATAGATACTTTATCATGACGTTTTCTTCATCCAATTTATATTGAGAATAACCTTAAATTTGAACGAAAAAATATACTGTTTCGAATGCAGATAGAACGTTGTTCCTATTGAAGTGAATTGAAAATTTATTTAAGTTGTAACGAAAACATGTAGAGCGTTTCTTTTTTTAAAAAAAAGTAGTTCTCTTTTATTTATTTTCACAGCACGTCTCGCTTTTTTTCTTAGATTTTTATGCTCAATCATTCGGGTCAAATTGAACAAGGTGATCATCTTATAGTCCACTGTCATACGGCACGTTTTGCTTGTCTACTTATTGAATTAATTGATAAAATCGATCATCAAATAAGTGAAATAATTCAAGTGTATCCACAATCAATCAAATCAGGCGATCTTGCTACAGTGAAAATGATTCCGTTGGAACCTGTTTGCGTTGAAAAATTTGACGATTATCCATCATTAGGCTATTTCATTGTGCGTGACAAGAATAAAATAATGGCCATTGGCATCATCAACGATGTTGAAAAGGTATGATGACGACAACAGTTTGAGAACAATGATTCGCCTATCTCTATGTTAACCATTGCTCTGATACAGTTTTTGTCATCAAAATAAATCAAATGTTTTCATATTGATATAATTGACCAACTGACAGACTTAGAAGAAGCAGAAGAGTATCGAAGGATGTGAGGGTCTTCTTTTTATTCTCAGCCTGTGACGAGGATCATCTATTCCTACAATTCCTCATTCTCGATTGTTTAGTTTATTCCCTTCAATCGTGTAAGATGATATCAATGTAAATATATCATTACAAAGCTGTTTCAATTCGCAGTGATTACTGAAATATCGATTAAATTTTATTCATATAAAAAATGCGACATTGTTGAAGATGTTTATAGATAAAATTGATAAGATGTACATTGTCATCTGATATAGTGCCGAATCAGAAAGGAAAATGAGACAAGTGAAATTTTGCCTTTCTATCAACATGATGACAAAGCTTGCAAAGGTCGTTCTCATCATGTAATATGATCACTAGAGCGTGAGTGTGTTACTTCTCTTCAAGTACAGTCAAACTCATACCCACATCCACACCCTCAATAAATCAGGTCTTTCATTATCTTTACTACTAAAGGCCACGAAGATACCTATCGAGTAGAATATCGAAATAGGATGAAAATTTGATCGATCAAGTTGAAACTTGCAAGAAGGATTACTAATTTTGTCCTCTATAATTGCTGAAAGTTTTACATCAAACGATCTTTGTTTTTTAAATGTGCCAAAATCATCCGAAGTCCTGTTCACTCCATATCGTAGAGAAAATAGTACTATTTTGTGATAACGCTTGTCAGGTCAAACTTCAAGATCTCAAACTTTTGATTGCATGATCAAGCAGCACTAACGTAGTAGTCTTTGAGAAAAAAAAGCCTATTGCGAAGATAGGCGACTTTGGGATCTAACATATCAGGAGAGCAGGACTATAGTAAAAAATTCAATAAATAATTTTTCACAACATAGTCATGATTGGACTTGATAGTCGTATAGTCCATCTTAAAATGTATGTCTGGTAAAAATTTCAGAACTCTATCACGTACTGGTGAGAAGGTATCGTGAAAACATCTTAAATGAAAAATTGACAAAAAAAAACTATTAAATTGATATAAAGCTATTTTTGATACTTTTAGAGGAATTACCATATCTCAGCTAAAACTCATTCTTTAGATCTAAAAATTTGGTCATATACCTAAAACAATTTACTATACAGGATGAGAGAATTTTCATCTAAATCTAAAATTTTCGATTGAGCAAGTTCGGTCGTGGCTCTCGTGAAGTGACTCTTAGAGTGTAGATAGTGGAATTACTTCAAGTACATTAATTTATTCAATTATGCAATCTAAAAGAAAAGCAGACAAAAATAAAAAACACTTATTAAATTTAGAACACTTATTTGTTTTAAAATCAATTGATTTGAAAGAATACTTGAAATCTGCTTCACTAGTGTTCGAAAAAGTTGTAGGACAAAATAAAAACACAAATAATATTGATCAAACAACTGCAGATGTACATTTAGTCGAAGATGAAGATACAGACGGTTGAACAAGACTATTAATTGTAGAAAAATGAGCTTATTCAACCTTTTCATATAGCCGATTCATTTCTCTCTTTATTTGAAAGACACCTTAGACTGATTCTTATATACGTGATAATGAAAATGATTATGATGTTGTGATCGATCATTAACAAAAGTAATTCTTGTGATAGGAAAAAAAAACTTCTTGAATATAAACCATATCATCGTGTTGATCTTCAGTTTTATAAATGAAAAGCATTGCATTCAGCACAAAACAAGTATGTTTACTTTTTAATTTATATAAATAATAATGTTCTCTATATTGTTTTAAACTATTAGATAATTTATATTGATTCATTCAATAATCTTTGACTTACAATATATCAATCGAACAATCATAATGATCTAACAAAACTACCATACCGTGTTTATGTACAATATCGAATTATTAGTACATAAAAACTAGTATATGTTTATATTTTCTCATTTCAGTCATGTGTGTGTGTATAGTTTTTGAATTCTACTTCTAATCATTGTCTGTCTGATAGGCACATTTTTTGATTGTTTTCTTGTTGTACTATTGTAATATTTAGTTGTATGTGATAAATTCTATTGAACTATAATACACATAACAAGAACAAACATTTTTGAATTCTATAAATATTTGATTATATATAATATTAGAAATAATGTAAAAAAATCATGTTTTTATTCATATCTTTTCACACAAATCAAATACATTCATTATTAGTAAAAATCTGTTAGCATTATATCTATAGGATATCACATCCACACGTGGTATTATTTCGTTGCTCATTCTTACTATCTACTTCAGGCTTGCCAAACCTCCTGATTTGACCAGGAGACTCCTGATTTTTGGACTTTTCTCCTGATAGAAAATCTCCTGATTTCAGGAGCTGATTTCCAACAATTTCTCCTGATTTTTAGTTTTTTTCCTACTTGGTTGTTAGCGATAGTTTGAACCAATAAGGGAGTTAAAAGGAAAAAAGAGAACTATCGCGGTAATTAATAGTTATAGTAACGAATAAGAAAATACTTGCTTTTATTTCATTTTTCTCTAAGAAAAATCATCAATTACATAACCTAATTGTATACAAAATATTTGTTTTACTGGAGATAGCAGAAAAGTACATGTTACTGTCTGGAAAACAAAATCTTGAAAATCAAAAAAGAGACCGATAGACAAAACTTTAAATGACCAGCCAAGATGTCTCTCATCTGGAAAGAATTTTGCATTTCGTGGGAATCACGTCGGATCCATTTTAGCTCAGAATAGGACAATATCTTGAATAACATAGCAAGATTCTTGTATTTCATTTTCATTATTAGTATGGAGTTGCTATAGGCTCATTTGCATTGCTATTTTGTCGTCAAAGTTTGATAGAAATTACAAACATGAAAAGAATGAATAGATGTATAATACAATAAAAAAAAATGAAGGCACCAATAAAAAAGAAGCAGAAGTAATAGTCATTTCGGTAAAATGTCCATTTAATAGATCACAAAAGGCTTAAGAGAAAAATAACTTTCTTTATTAAAAGTTAACTTGTTTTTATAGCATATTAACGGTATAAAAAGCTCATTGCAAAAATGAGCGAAGAAGCACATGTGCGCAATTCATATAGTGATGTAAGAAACAAAGAATGATCGTCTTTTTTCCAACTCTGGTAAGAGTCTATCGTTCTATTAATTCATATACAAGGTATCCCAAAATTATAGGGACCCTTTTATTTTTGGAATTTTTCAACAAAAACGGATAGCTAAGTCAAATTCAAATGGTGATTTGGATAGTCCTTGAAATCCTCTATCGAATACAATATGGACCAAAATTTTCAAAGAAGCTTTGTGCAGAAAGTCTTTTAGAAAACTGTTTCCTAGAAATTTTGAGTTCTGGAGGAGTTTAACAAAAAATAGTTTAAATAGAGTCTTTTGCAAGAGCATAAAATTCTGAACAAAATGAGGAGTCGCCCAGCTCTCTACGATGTTTTGCTGCCAAGTTGTAAGAATTAGAAGAACTCAACAAATTGCATAATTTATCAAAGGACCGCTAAAAAATCGGCTAAAAACATATTTTGTTGGTTTTTCTTATGCGTATAACTTTGCGACGAAGCATCATGGATAGCTTGGCGACCCCTCATTTTGCCAAGAACTTTTTTCTCTTTCGGATGACTATATTTAAAAATATTTTTCTCACAGTCCTCTAGGACCTGAAATTTCAGTGGAACGGTTTTCTTGGAAACTCTCTTCGCAAAGTTTCCTTGAAAATTTTGGCCCATACTGTATTCGATAGAGAATTTCAAGTGCTATCTAAATCACTACTTGAATTTGACCTAGCTATCCGTCTTTGTTAAAAAATTCAAAAATAAAAGGAAACCTATCATTTTGGGATACTCTATAAATACTTTTACTTAAATTTCACAATGGAAAAGAATTTTGACTGATAGATCAGAATAAAAAAGAATCTGGAAAGAATGGAGATAAGAATATTAACTGGCCAAGTGTATATAATAGATATAACTAAAAAAAAATGTTTTCGTGATTCTTTTCTTCTATATAGCAAAAAACATTACTTGTCATAGAACACAAGTGACAATAATATCATTTGTATTAAATTATTGATCATCAAGTAGATAGGAAAGAGATAAAAGTGCTTATGTGAGCGAAAATTCCAATTTTCTACGAAAAAATCACCTAATCTTCTCTTAACTTCAAATAGAAAACCTCCTGATTTTTCTCCTGATTTATAAAAGAAATTCTCCTGTTAAACTCCTGTTTTTTTAATAAAAAACTCCTGATTTCCAAAATTTCGATTTGGCAAGCCTGATCTACTTATAATGACGATGTTGGTAAAAACCTTGACAACAATGCAAATAACATTGATCCATTTTATTATATAAGTTTATCTTTGTTTGTTCTTCTTCTTCCTCGACTTGCTGAGATAGCGATGCAAACTTCAAAAGATAACAAAACATAATGACTTGAGCAAAACAACCAATTCAGCAAAAAAAAGAGAATGATCTCTATCGAAAAACTAAAGAAATTTCTGTTGTATCTTCAGAAAAAAATATGTTTTAAACATTTTTATATTAATTAAAAAAGGAATTTGCTTTCTTTCTTGCTTTCACACTGTATTATGATTAAAATAAATACTTTACTAGAAAAAATGTCACAATAGAAACAAGTAGCTTCGTTTTTTCTTTTTCATTTTGGTTTGTCTTTTGGTAAGAGGCCTATTTTATTGATTCAAGATATCTTGCACATAGAAACATAGACAAAGATAAAAGAATTTTCTAATGAGACCAGATAAAAGCAAACGAAAAATAAAAAACAATGAAAACAAACAATATACAAGGTGGTACAAACGCCACTTTACCCAAAAAAAATTGAATATCTCCTTTAGAGCTCAAGCAAATGAGCTGACTTTTTTATCAATGATAGAGGCATGTACAAGCTTTATATCCATAAAGGCATGCCTAGAGAGACTCTTTGTTAGGTATCGCTATTGACCTCAATAAGAAAAATTTTATTTTTTCACTGATAGAAAAAAAAAACAGTATACTTAACAGAAGGTCTCTCTAGGCATGTCTTTATGGATATGAAACTTGAACACACCTCTATTGTTGGTAAAAAAGTCAGCTCGTTTGCTCGAGCCGTGATGGAAATATTCAATTTTTGTTTTGGTAAACTGACTTTTGGACCATCCTGTATATGGCCCAAAAGTCACGATACCACAAAAAAAATTAAATATCTCCGCTACCGCTCGAGCAAACGGACTAATTTTTTTGCCAATAATAGAAGCATGTTCACGCTTTAAGCTCATACGGATAATATTGGAGAGAGCCTTTATAAAGTACCACTAATGATCTCAACAAGAAAAATTTTACCTTTTCACAGATAGGATAGTAAACAATATACTTAACAGAGGATCTCTCTAGGCATGTCTTTATGAATATAAAGCTTGAACACACCTCTATCATTGATAAAAGAATCAGCCCGTTAGCTGAAGCCGTAGTGGAGATACTCAATTTTTTTCGACACAGCAACTTTTTTTTCTAACTGTGAAAAAGTAATTTTTTTTGTTGTGGTCAATAGTGATACTTAACAAAGAGTCTCTCTAGGCATGCCTTTATGGATATAAAGCGTGAACATGTCTCTATCATTGATAAAAAAATCAGCTCATTTGCTTGTACTATAAAGAAGATTTTCAATTTTTTTGGGTAAAGTGACTTTTGCGCCACCCTATATGAAGCAATTCATTTTGAGATTGTATTCATAATCTTTCGTTTTTTTCTCTTCTACGAATGACGATCGATCAATAGTGTAATTATTCATTTTTTTTGGACGGATTCTTCGTTTTCATGCCAGATGAACAGAGATTTCATTCGTCACATGTTTTGTCATTATCATTTCGTCAGTAACAAAACTCTTGAAATAAAAAACAAAAACGAACAAACAAAAGATTGAGATAAGAAATCCTTCAAGTCTTCTATAGTAATAACAACAATAAACCAAAAAATAGAAAGTATCAACACGAAAGAAGAAAAAACCAAAATAAAAACTATCTACAAGGAGAAAGAGACGAATTCTGTTTTTGTTTATTCTTTCTTTCTTTCTTTTCATCACCATCCAACAAGTATTTAGATTTTTATTTATTCATTCATTTACGAAAAACAGAACACCATTATTATTATCAACATCATCCAAATGGACAAAAAGCAATATTCAGAATCAACTGCTAGTGGATCTTCTTCATCGTCCACAACAATTAAACCAAAGAAATCATCAGCATCGTCAACAGCAACATCAGTATCAACATCAACAATGGGCACAAGTGCTGTGCTTCCGCAACCTACTCGTCGAATTGTTCAAAATTTTCTTCTCGTCTGGCTCGATGCCAATATTGACGAGTCAAAGGAAGATTTTCAAAACACATTAAAACATTTACGACGAATTGTAGCATCCATTACAACATTCACCGATACTCAACAATGCTTTGATTTTCTTAGTGGCATTACAAAGGAAAAGGCATTTATGATCGTAGCGGGTTCACTTGGACAGAAAATAGTATCAGAAATGGAAGCCATACCACAATTAGAATCTGTGTATGTTTTTTGTAGTAATCAATCGTACCATGAACAATGGGCCAATAGGATACCGAAGATCATAGGCGTATACACAAAAATCGAATCAATTTGTAAAGCCCTAGAAATTGATCGACAACGATGCGATCAAGCTATGATCTCGGTTAGCTTTAATGGTCTCGATCCTCTATTCATGTATACACAATTGTTAAAGGAAGCACTTTTAGAAATCGAAGATGACGATAGAAAATCTCTCAAAGACCTGACTGAATATTGTCGTGAACAGGATGATATCCTTGAAGATCAAATTAAACAAGTTGAAAATGAATATCGTAATCATACGCCAATATGGTGGTATACAGCTGAAACATTTATTTATCCGATGCTTAATCGTGGACTTCGACTTATGGATATTAATATTATACTCAAAATGGGCTTTTTTATTCGTCATCTACATCAACACATTCAAAATTTATATCATAAACAACAATCTGAGAACATGAACATAGCTACTCCGTTAAAAGTTTATCGTGGTCAAGGTTTAGCATTAGAAGACTTTGAAAAAATGAAAAAAAGCATAAATCAATTAATGTCTTTCAATAATTTTCTATCAACAAGTCTCAATCAGAATATTTCCTTTCAAAAATTTGCACGACCAGCAGCATTTAATGATCCCAATAAAGTTGGCATACTCTTCATTATGACTATTGATCCTGATATTTGTACAAAATCAAAAATTCCATTTGCTGATGTTAGTCAAGTTGGCTTTTTCGAAGGCCAAGAAGCTGAAATTCTTTTTACAACACATACAATATTTCGAATCGATAAAATTCAACGAATTCAGGACGATCATACTGATCGTCTATGGAAAGTTCATCTTACCCTTGTGGGTAATGACAACCACGAGCTAAATACACTTACAGCACACGTACGCGAAGAGATCAACTTGAAAGCACCAATACGAGGATGGTCTCAACTAGCTTTCATACTTCTTAAAGTGGGTGAACCTGCAAAAGCTGAAAAACTCTACAAAATACTTCTCCAAAAAGCATCTTCTGATAAAGAGAGATCAGATTACAATCATAAACTTGGTTGGGCATATAATGATATGGGCGAGTATTCGAAAGCACTTTCATCGCACGAACGATCACTGGAAATCCAAAAAATAGCTCTCCCTCCGAATCATCCCGACTTGGCTACTTCTTACAACAGCATCGGTGAAGTGTATTCTAACATGGGCGAGTACTCGAAAGCACTTCCATTGCATGAAAGAGCACTTGAAATCCGAAAAATAGCTCTCACTCCGAATCATCCCGACTTGGCTCAATCTTACAATAACATCGCTTCGGCATATAATAGTACGGGCGAGTACTCGAAAGCGCTTTCATCGCACGAACGATCACTTGAAATCAAAAAAATAGCTCTCCCTCCGAATCATCCTTCCTTGGCTACTTCCTACAACAACATCGGTTCGGTATATTGTAGTATGGGCGAGTACTCGAAAGCACTTACATACTACGAAAAAGATCTGGAGATCAATCTGAAAGCTCTCCCTCCGAATCATCCCGACTTGGCTACTTCCTACAACAACATCGGTTCGGCGTATGATAGCATGGGCAAGTACTCGAAAGCACTTTCATATTATGAAAAAGCGCATGAAATCGATCGAACAACTCTGCCACCAAATCATCCACATATTGCACACTCGAAAAGAAACATTGAAAATGTAAAAAAGAAAATGCAATTGTTTTTTTTAAACCAGAAAATAAATTGGCCTTCTTGAACACGTTTGGCTCGCCGAAGCGCACCAGTTGCAAATAAACATTCTTCACGATTTTTTATTAATTCTACTTTAAATTGTAATTTATACAGGTCTTCTATTTTTTTTCCAGAAAAAAATGTCTTATCGTAGATAGATTATATGTAATGGAAAGCTGAAAGCAAAAATAGACAATCAAGGTTTATAATAAACGACATTCGATTGAAATTTTCTTACAGAATAAATTGCCATTGTTGAAAAAATAATTTAGTCATCTATAATGTTCTCTTGTTGATATGAGGGCAAATTTAGTCGATTTTGTTATGTTCATTATTTCAGATCGATTAATGTTTCGGATTGTGTGAATATGTTTAATGTTACACTTATGCAATAATTTATCATTTTCATTGCAGTTGTTTACTTAATTTGAGTTCATTAAGATATGATAACAAAAAGTTCTTGTGGCAAACTGCAATTTAAAATAGAAAGATGGTAATCATAAAAATTTTTCATACAAGAGAGGATTCAATTAGTGTGAAGTTATTGATCATATCAGTTCTGTTTCCACTTTATTCAAAAATAAAATGTAATCATAATAATAACTGAAAATGACATATAACGAGACATATACAGAAGAGGCAGGCACCCGAAAATATACAACGAAAATGTAAAGAATATGTGACATTTATTAAAGAAAAAGTACCTACATATATAACAATCAATTTTTGAAATAGCACAATTGAAAAATTGACTATCCTATTGTTTGGAATCTGAAAAAGTACGTCTATCAGTGAATAGAAGTCTTACATCACTAAGTTGAACTTTGGGACAAATATGTCTTGTTAGAATCAATTGAATTTGTTAATGTATTGGCAAATAATAAGGCAATACATCAGCATTTGATTTCCAAGATTTAGGATTACAGGCTAACAACTTCGGTTTTGTAGCCTGGCTGGCCATGTCGACAGTTCTGTATTAAACACACTGTTGACTGATTAAATTTTTGATGAGATTAAAATGTGTAGTTTCTTGAGCCAAATTCAAGTATGTATTGTTTGTTGTAAACCTGTGACTTTTCTCCTATAAGAATGCTGTAATTTTTCTTACTTGTTTTCATGTCGTCAATATTTTATCGCTTGCATAGTTCAGCGAAAATAAAATTTTGATCTCGAATATTCTGATTTTTATATGCCATTTCGATGGCCACTCACTCAAACATGAGGAAACGGTTTGACGAGATACATTGTCTTCGCCACTTGGATCAGTATACAGACAATCATTGCTGTAGCAACATTTTACTCCCATTATTATTTACTGTATTTGTAAAATGACGGTTAAACTGAATCGGTTTATCTAATGTGATTGTTACAGTTTAGATGAGAATTCGATCTAGTAACATGATAAACTAGAAATGAATGGCAACTAAAGTAAGCTCTCACTCTATTCTCATTCTCTAGAAATAATAAAAAGCATTTACAGATTGCTATAATATTTATGTCGGTTAAACCTGCTGGTTTCTGCTTGAAACATATGCCTAAAATTTTACTTGTGTACTAATGCATTCAAGCAAACATTCTCGAAAATCAAGAAGGCGTACTATTTTATTTTCTATCTCCTTGAACAGCAATTGTTATCGCAAAAAGTATGCCTCCTCATAATTAGGTCCATGTATGGTATAAGGTTAGAAAGTTTTCAGATGCAATCTATACGGAATTGAAGTTTGAAAGACGATCAGTTGTTCAATAGAAAACGGCAATCTTTCAACACTTTTGTGTCATAGTCGATGCAAGCAAGAGAAAGAGAGTAATTGTTTTAGGTACTTCAACAATAATTCGTAATTGTCTTTCAACAAAAACAATTTGCTATTGAAAATGTCCGATATCGTCAAAGTAAAAGTCAATGAACACATTTTTTCTTCAATATCTACTCTATACATTGCCATTTTTTGGCTACAGTAGTTTATCGCAAAATATAAAATATATGTCGTCGCGTGTGATCTTATTGAGTTTTCATAAAACTTTGTTGTTTATGCAAACGACGATTGCTAATGACTGTTGCAGTATCCTACTGAGAGAGCTAAATCATTTCTCTCCTGTATCGCACCGGCTACGATAGAAATTTTAGTATATGTCAGGCTTTATGAAGTACTTTTGATTTCATTATAGGTCGTAAAAATACGCATTATCACACATTCCCTCTTTTTGCTTCGTGATAAGAACAGATGCGTTCTTTATCTCTTGCATTCATTTTGATGTCATCCTTTCTACCTTTGAAAGAGAACGACAATGATGAAAGAAATTAATAATTATCCAGATAATGATCATCATGCAGTATTACAACATCAGAAACAACAAGACATTGTATCAAGTGAACAAGTGATGTGGATTTCCAAGTTTTTATTGGAGTGTTCGGAAGCAGCACTGGATGTACATCAGTCTTTTCAGAAGAGTCATTCTAATCAGCAACAACAACTCTGTCAACCCTAGACTCGCACCAAACTCAAACTGTTTCGATTCAGAGAGGAGGCGAGGTGAGTTCGAGCCGCCATGATCGCGATTTCCACTTCACTGACAATGAAGTCTCATCAGATGGCAAGTGAGGAGTCAGGACTGGGTGCGTGAGAGTGAAGAGATAATTCTTATTCACTCTCATCCTCACCCTTATCTACCTACTCTCTAAACATTATTCTTGAATCATAATAGCCACGAGCAGTAATGAACAATGTTAACATTTATTCAAAAAAAAAGATAATTTGAAAAAAAATGGAAAAACTTTATTTCCTTTCTCTTCCCGACTTCTAAAAAGCATCGAGCACTTTGAAACCTTATGCAAAATTCGAAGTTGACGTATCACCTCTTATCTAAGTCGCAGCATATTTGCGCATGCTATATAGAGGTAGTGTGATAGCGATAGTGTCGAGTATTTTTATTGACTTTTGCTATTCTAATATTTCTTTTTGCCTCGTAAAAAACCTAGGAGAAGCTTCTGTCAACAGTCACTCGCAGTTTTGTAAGCTCGACTCGCACTAACTCAAAGATAACCTCAAAATATGGTCAAGATATACCCGAAATACGAATGCTTTTTTCGAACATTTTGAGCTTATGCAGTGCCGAACTCACTCAAGTTCAGCCAACGGTTCAACAACATTCGATAATATCAATTCCAACAGTATCGGTATCGCAACATGCGCACCTCATACATGACTGCATACGATTATGATTAGGGGTGAGACATTTTATTTAATGAGACTTAATTAAAGTCATTTGTGAAGTGACTCGACTTAACACTTAATATTAAGTAACTTCAGATTTAATACTACGTGTTAAGTGGCAACTTTAAACTTAATTTTAAATTAAGATAAATGTTCTACCCCTAGTTATGATTGCTATTTTAAAATTAAGTAGCAACACATGTTGACATTAACTGGGGGAGTCTGTTTCGCGTCATATTCTAATTGGAGATATTGTGCGCATGATCAATACTTTCAGATGTATCTCGGTTGGATCGATTATGCAATTTTAGGTGTGCTTTTGAGTAAGTCTAAATATAGATTTTTCTCGGCACAGACAACTGTTTGTCCAACATTTATAGGTTTCTCGGCTGGCATAGGTATCTATCAAGGTTGTATTCGTTCGAAACAATTGTCAGCGAGCGAATTTCTCGTTGCCGATGGCCAAATGACGGTAACATAATTTTAAGAAAAATATACATGCATACCCAGGTCAATGATTCCAATCTCCAGAAATAATTGGATTTCACTGGAACCGGCAGGAAAGATGCAGATAAAGTCATCGTATCCGACAGGAAGACACTAGAAATTGCTGGAATGCGGAAGCAATATTCGGCCGGAAAGAACAGAAAGTTGACCGCAATCCATTGAAAAAAATCCGAAAAATTTCTCGCCGGAATACTGCTTCCACGTTCCAGCAATTTCCGGTGTTTTCCTGCCGAAACCGAGTCGTACTCCTTGAACTGGGTAGACGAAATTCTTACTATTTTCTCTTATAGGTGTTGCCAACAGCAATAAGCTTGCTGGCAGGTGCCAGGTCTGCAGTCAGTTTACTTGGAGTACCTGTAGAGTTCTATCTATATGGAACCATGGGATTGTATGGCAGTATGTAGCAAAATATTTGTCCACATGTGAAAACATGTGTCACTCTAGAATGTTATTTAAAATCTGTCTCACTCTACGGTATTGTTCTTTTTTTAAGTATTTGCTTCACTTATGGCAACCTATATAACGACAAAAGTGTTTCTACCTAAACTTCGTCAGACTGGAGATGTCAGTATTTATTCTGTACGTATATAGACTAGTGGCAGAACCACTCATGGAGATGGAAGCTGAACTCTCCTATCGGAGGATACAGCTCCTCTCACTAGCGAACTCCTGGTTCTACCATTAATCTAGACATAATTTCCAAAATTCTCAAACAACTTTTTCTCAATAATAGTATCTTGAGCGACGCTTCTCACTATCAGTTCGTATTATGGTGACATGTACTTATATTCTTGGCACAGTGAGTAGAATAAAAGTAATTTCGCACTTGAAAATCAGTACATTGTGTGTCAAGATTCTATATATGGGTGTTATTCTCTATGGGCCGAGCTTGGCATTGAGTCAAATGACTGGGTTAAACATTTGGCTTGCAGCTGGTTCATGTGGATTGGTTTGTACAATTTATACAAGTATTGTAAGTACACGTCACGAACTTTGCAATGAACGAATCTTGAATCTTTTTGAACAATTCAACGTTTCGTCTTCAAATAAATGGTAGGGTGGAATTAAAGCTGTGATTTGGACTGATGTTGTACAAGCTGTCATGATGTATCTTGGCCTTATTGTGTCGATTGTTTTTGGTATGTATCAATTATTTCGTTATTTGAAATAGCAATTTTCATCTTTCATAATCGTATAGGCATCATCGATGTCGGCGGAATCGCAAAAGCGGTTGAAACAGTGTCTAGCGGAAATCGATTTCAATTCCGAGTGTACGTATATGAACGAATATAATAGAATGGAAGATTGGAAAAGACAACGATTGTCGAAAATATTCTCCTCTCCTCAGAATCTTTCTCGACGTTGCCGAAAAATATGTCAATGGCCTATCCATCCTATAGTCTATGCCTGATGAAAAGTTTAGCTTGAATGGTCGAAGTCTTGCTGATTAACGATGTAAATATTGTTTCAAATAAGTATGAAAACCATATAATTATATTATCACTTTTGTTTGCATACCATTTCTTGCATTTTTTTGATCGGTATTTAGTAGATGTTGATAGGAAAAACTAGGATTTTAGTCAAAAGCAATAATATATTTAGAATCAGCAGGAAATACTGAGTCGACTTATATGAGTTTCAACGTTTTTCGTAGTACTTTACTCTTCTGGAAAAATTCATCAGAGGTTGTCCCAGCGTCCACCTAAAAAATGAGTTTCACCAACACACCATTGTTATTGTTTAGTTGTCTGTTCTTGTGTCTTCGAATAATGTTTTACAAGCTCTGAAGTTGTTCTTCGTTGTTCAAAAAATTTTCTAATTAAATTCATTTTATAGCTGGACACTGGCAGGACCCTGATGAAGTTTTTCAGAAGAGTAAAATACTATGAAAAACTTTGAAACACACATAAGTTGACTCAGTATTTCGTGCTGATTCGAAATATATTATTACTTTCAACTGAAATCCTACTTTTTTCTATCAACATCTACTAAATACCGATCAAAAAATGCAAAAAATGATATGTAAACAAAAGTCAGATTATCTTTTTTTTTTAACAAAGGCCACTTCTACAACAAATTGAAAAGTATATGACTTTGTAGTCATTTCTTCGAGCTTTCCGAATCAATGAAAAACCCATTTTGCCTTTTTTTCTTATCTCAAGATATATGAAAAAACAGTAAACAAAAGTGATAATATAATTATATGGTTTTCATGCTTATTTGAAACAATATTTACATCGTTAATCAGCAAGACTTTAACCATTCAAGCTAAATTTTCACCAGAGATAGTTCATAAGATAGGTAGTCAATTGACATTTCTTTTGGGTTCGGAATCTCTTTCTATCGAAAATATCAACATTTTGAGCAAAAATGGGTCTTGATCCTTCAGAAATAGGTTTATTTTCTTTATCAAAGAGTTCCTTGTGAAATTCTGCATTAGATAAGTTCTGAATAGAGAGCAACTGAAAATAGTCCCAAAATGGCTGTTATCTGCTCCTGTCCTTTAGCTATTTCCAATCTCCTTTGTCTTTCAGTGATACTCTAGATCCATCTGTTCGTTACACTTTCTGGAGTGTGCTGATTGGTTTCACAGTTTTTGACATAGGCATATATGGATGCACACAGACTCAAGCACAAAGATACATGTGTGTCAAAGATACAAAGACAGCAAAAAGGTATTTTGTGATCAAATTTACAAATTGTCAATTTTGTTCACATAGAGTTGTTTGGATTAATTATGCAATGAATGTAGTGCTGCAAATTCTATTAGCATGCGTTGGTTGTGTTATCTATGCAAAGTATAGTCAATGCGATCCAATTAAAGCTAAACTGATTTCGAGATCAGATCAAGTAGGATAATCAATGCATAGAAGTTTGAATAGAATATGTCTTTTTTTTTCTTGACACAGTTGTATCCTTTGTTTGTTATACAAACATTGGGACGATTTCCTGGTTTCACTGGTATTTTCATAGCTAGTATTTTGAGTGCATCGTTAAGTACAATTTCGAGTGGAGTCAATAGTATAGCAACAGTCATTGTCGAAGATATCTATAAACGAATATCAATCGCACGCCCAATGTCAAACGAACGCCAAGCGACGGTATCTAAGGTCTTGTGTAAGTGTCATTCTCTGTCTTGTCACAGTTGTGTTACCTATGAATTGTAGCGATCGGATTGGGTCTTTTCACCATATTTCTCGCATTCATCGTGTCTTATATGAAAACCAACATTATGACAGTTAGTTTCGTTCTATAGTTCTTGTATTTGTCCAACTGCTTTCTTTTATTTTTTTTTGTCCAGATAGTTTTACAAATCTTCGGTGCCTTTACAGCTCCCATCCTTGGTGTCTATTTACTTGGATTCTTTACAGCACGTGTTCAAAGTCGAGTGAATATATCAATTGCATTTATTCAATAGACCTTATATATGATTTCGTTTGTTCATTCCATAGAGTGCTCTTGTTGCTTTTACTCTCTGCCTGACATTTCAAATTTGGATTGCTGTTGGAAGTACTGTCACTGTAAAACCGCCTAATAAGCAAGGTGGATTATTGCCCACTTCAGTTGTTGGATGTATGCAATCAGTGAATATCAGTGTACCGATGTCAAAGAATCAAAAGTAATGCCGTTTGGCACAAGTAAAAAGAGACGAACTCATATTTTCTTTCGATTATTAGCTACAATCCATTGATATCACTCTACTCCATAGCACCTACGTGGTTTGTTTTTAATGGTGCCATTATCACTCTACTCCTTGGACTAATCTTTAGCTTCATTTGTGGTAAAATAAAAAGATTTTCAGGAGAGAGAAATGATTGGCTTAAAAATTAATTAATTTTTTTTCGATATAGATTCAAAATATCCAAAAATAGTAGATAAATCATTGGTAATAACTCGAGATGACATATTCTCGTGTTGTTCATCAAGAAAAGTGAGTATCACTATATTATCGAGTTATTAATTCATTACGTTTATTACTTGGTTTTCTTATAGGAAGTTATGAAACTAACAATAGCACAGAAATATAATGGAATTTCAACGGATAATACAATGATCGAAAAGGAATCCATGCTTAAGACTTGATCCATGTATTCGTTTCGTAAAAACAAATTTGAAATTAAAGAATAATTGAATTTGATATCCTCAATGACAATGTCTGTAACACATACATATGGATCAGTGATACTAATTGATACGTGATCAATACGAGATGGATGTTGATAGAGCCAAAGGAAAGAAAACATCCCATTCAGATAGTGATGGGAAGCGGTATCACTTACCAAGGAAGGTTCCCAAGTGATCCAGCACTTTTAAGTCGAGACTATATTTATCATGTATGTCATAGTGAGCTATGAAAATTGTCAAAAGAGTTCAAACTGGTAGCTTGTTGCTGTTTAGATATTGCATCTTTACGATGTTCGTTAGCTCGATGCTGTGGTCTTCTCACGAGCACCAGAAAAACTTATTTTCGAATTTCACCTTGAAATTTTGCACAGAGACAGATCTTAATGAGAGTGATTTATCGTGAAAGTTTCAGCTTATCCAAGTGCTTCTAATCTGAAATAAGAACATGAAAATTTGCCTATGTAAATGGTGTCAAAAATACATTCTGTTACCATAGCCGCATCTTAGAATAGCAACAACAAAAAGATCTGAAAATTTTACGATAGACCATTCCCATCAAGATCTATCTCTGTGCAAAATTTCAAGGTGAAATTCGAAAATAAGTTTTTCTGGTGCTCGCGAGGAGACTACCACATCGAGCTAACGAACATCGTAAAAATGCAATATCTAAACAGGAACAAGCTATCAGTTTGAACTTTTTTCACAATTTTCATAGAGAGATACCTTCACCAAAATTTTAGCGTTGTATACCCTTTATTCCGATTAGTAGGATGTTCATCAAAAACTGGTTTTTGATGAACATCATGGTTTTCAGACAAGTCTTTCAATCTAGCAATGAAGTAGCTTGAGAACTGGGTTAGAAAAATTGGCCAACCCATCTAAAATGTACAACTTCATGATGATATCAGTCGGGATCGTGTAGAAATGACCTGCAACAGATGTCATCTTTACCAGTCCCAAGTTAGATGGGTACTTTTTCAACATGATTCCATCACTCGCGTTATGACACATTGTCTATTATCAAGTCCTCCCCTTTTTTTTACGGAGAGCAGGATAGTTATAGTTTGCTACTTGTATCTCTAAGTCCAAGTTATTGAAAAACAAAAGAAAATATAAATATTTACTTTAATACCTTACGTACGAACGTTTAACATAATAATGATGATAAAAAAAGACAGTCCATCTAAGCCACGAGTGAGTATGTTCAATCGAAGGCCAAAGATTTTGTTTAATTTAAGATAAATGATAGAGGCAAGCGCTTTATAAAGTTTGTCCGAAAGGTTTGAAAATACAGGACCCAGAAATAGAGGATTTGTGGAACTAATATTTGAAGAGGAACTTGACAGATTGAAGGGAAACTTTTTTCGAATACGCATAACTATGAGTTACACCAAAAGTCAATTTGTTAGTTGAATCGATTGAGTCTTTCATATTTCTATGGTTTTTGCTTCAAGAGGAAAAATCACGATTTTGAGCAACTTTGAAGCTTCATAGCTCGAGACTTACAAGTGATAGAGGTCCAAAAATTCTTAGAATAGGCATAACTGACGAATTTTAATTTTTAGTTAAAACTTAAGCTCTATTGAATATTGCATTTGCGCTGGAGGACTTCATCAAAGTACGATTTTCGACGAACTTATCTATGAGCTAATCCGATTGTTTAAGAATAGCTATTGATATGTTAAAAGTTCGATCTTTGATCTAGAGCGTGACAGGGCAATCAGCTTGACATACCTAAGGGCGACACAGAAAAGGGAGCGTATTTGAATATCAAAATAAAGTGATTAATCAGGTCGGCACTCCTACACTTCAAATTTAAGTCTTTGACTAAATATCGTCTTGATTATTTCATCTGAGTAACTGTGGATAGAGAACACTAGAGTTATCATCTTGTTTCACTATCTCAATGTGAGTCTCTCAAGAACTCAGTACAGCCTACAAAGGGCCTGAAAGCAGGTGCGGATGTGAGTGTAAATGAAGAGAAGAGCCACACGCACACCCCATCCTTCTATGGCTATTTGACTATTTCATAGGTATTTAAATATTTCATAGCTATTTAACTTTTTCAAAGTTATTTAAAATTTCCATAACTATCTGATTCTTGTGTAGCTATTTAGACATCTCATGACTATTCAAAGCTTCCATAGCTATTTAAATACTTGTCAACTATTTAAATTCTCAGAACTATCTATATCTTAATTACTATTCAAACTGTCGTAGCTTTTCCAATACTCATCAAGTATCTAAATCTTCATAGCCGTTTGATTACGTGTTCGCTGTTCATTGAAGATCAGATATTTGTAAATAGCGTCATATATAGCTGTTTAATACAAAATACTTTTCAATCATTTACTGCACTAAAAAATAAATATTTTTTTGTTTTTAAAATTAACCCTTTCGCGTCGATGGGGCCAACCGGTGGGTCCCGCTATAGGGTGGTCCAAAAACTCATTCATTGTAGAAAGAATTGAATATCTGTGCTATCCTTTGACCAAAGGAGCTGATTTTTTTACTCTTGATAGAGGAATGTTCATAGCTCATATTGATAAGAGAAACATCGATAAAAGTTGTTTTGAAGTACAATATTTGCTACAAATAAAGAAATGAAACCTTTCACGAATTATGAGCAAGCAATATTCATATCGCCGCGAATGGGTTAAGCTCAGGCACTTATTTAACGGTGCTCATTGTTTTCGAGCAAGTATGTGAAGGGGGAGGAAAACGACGAAATATCTCGATGGAAATGTCTTCGTGGTAGTTAATCATTTATGAGCGATACTATTTTGAGACATTTAGCACTTGTTAATAAGGTATTATAGTTGCTTATTGATGTTGAGTATTTTGAGAAGCAGCTACTGCATGTAATACATAATGTAAAGGTGATCATTGTTATGTAAAATATAGTGAAAGCTATCAGGACAAGAGGTCATGCTTCATTATGAGTATATTTTCTAGATTAAGTGTTTCCAAATTTAGACTACAACATTTTTTTAAATTGTTTTGTTATGCTGTTAGATATATCGTATATATATTGTTCGAGTTAAGAAAACTGTATGTTTAAACACAAACTTATGATATCAGTGTTATGAATTTGAATCCATCTAATGAAAAAAAACCGAGGCAGTCGTCGAAATTTGATTGTTTAATTTTTTATGAGCAATCGAAAGTTTATCATCTAAAATTATTAAAACAAAATTTTTAGTTCATTTGGATGTTCTATAAAAAAGTTAGCCTATACTGATTTTTCAAAACTGCATATACTTACCATTAAGTAAATAGTCAGAAATCGTTCCATAAATATTCCACTAAGATTATACTTCAATAAATCAGAGAATACCTTTATGTAAGATAATTACAAATGCTTCAACATTCTTTTTCTTGAATACACTAATCATAGCATTACACATATTACTACAGTTTTCACTTAGACGGATAAAAGTGACAATTCTGCTAGGATATTTAATTTATATTAAAGCCATCAATGACTTCATAGAGTCAGAAAGAGTTTTGTCTATCCACTGTTCGTGTATATAACTTGCACAATGTATAATTAAATTATAATATGCTGCGATTGTGCGTCCTACTTAATGATGCTAACAGTAATGCAAATATAAATAGCAACATAGATGTTTTAAAAAATATTTGCCATAAATGACTAAATTCAAGATAGAATAATCAAGTTCAAAGGATTCTTTCTGGGAATACATAGAAGGTTGTATACTGACTTCTATTCGATAGAATTTATTTCACTTGATGCAATTTTTCTATTAATTTCAAAATGAATTCGAGTATATCTTCCACGACAAATGGGCCACTTTTGAATATCTTTCAATAAGTCTCCCAAACCGATCCTAGGAGATCCCACGCTAATTCTTACATAAGTTTATAGTGCTCGGTGTGTACCTTACAATTACACCAACACGACTTCTATTGATTAGGTATTTCATGACATCGATCCCTGCTAAAATCGCGATTCCGGTCAAACTCGTGACTTTATGGAAGGTCTACTGAGTGATATAAACCATTGAAAGAGCTGAATTTTTTCCACAGTAAGTACTCAATGAAAGTTCTCTATAGCCAAAATATCGGCTTCTAACATGCGTTGTTCGTGGAATACGCATATTCACATAATACCGAAAAATGATCATTTTCCAGTGCACTTCATAGTACTGATTAATTCATCCATAGTTCACTCATTCAAACTCATTTTTTAAGATAATTACATAAACTTGAGATGTGTGCACTTTAAGTATTTTAAGTCAAACAGATGCATTTTTGCTGGGATACATCTATGATAAAAGACCACAAAATACACCGCTTTTGGCAATAATGTGCTCAAAAATGTTTAAATACTTTGGAAATGGAACAATATTTTTTTTCAAAATATTTACATCGAAATTCGTAAAACTCCCCTTTCTACAACAAATTTCAAGATCAGATAAGTATAACAATTTCAGTCGTTATTTATGTGGATTGACTCATCGAGCAGCATAACTGAATTTCTGATTGTTGTATTCAGTATATTTCACACCATCACTTTTTATCAAAGAGAAAAGACGAATTCGAGAATCTTTTGTATCATCATCGTATCCTCCCTATTTTCATGATAGTCCCATATCCGGGATACGATGAGGATCTAGAAGATTCATTTTTTCTCTCCTTGACTTGACCTCTCACAAAATCAATTAAACGAAGTTCCATCAACAAAAAGATAATATAAACAGAATATTGTAGAGTGAAGAATCATTTCTCACTTTTCTTGTGAAGATTGCGTCGAATAGAATACAAGAGAAACAAAAAATCAATGCTTACATTCTTTCTTTTTATTCCTATCAATATAACGACATGACGTAAATTTTGATTAAATTGTTTTTCTTTTTTTTTCCTCTTGTTAGATACAACTATGTGTTCGAAAGCATTTTTTCATAGACATATATCATTTCTCATCAACTGCTTTC